TTTATTTTTATATAAAAATGGGATGTGGAATCCGAGCCCATTGAGACTCGAGGCCCTTGTTCCGCGGAGCAGCGGTGTATACGCCACTGGTTAAATAGACGCCCCAATCCTTTTGATGGTTCGCCAAAGGCTCCGGAAAAAACGGAGACAACGCCGTCCGGCTGGGCATTGACTCGGCTCGAAGCTCAGACCCCGTCCAAATATGACGAGTCAACCTCAAATCCGCTTGAGGTTGACTCGTCTCGGGCGTCTCTCGCACTCGTTTCGACATATTTATACGCAGCTTTACCGCTACTTTACGACAAGTCGTGTTTATATACTCTGCGCTGTGCTCGACATATTGTGGAAACGAGCCAAGCTCACCTGATGATGGGGTAGGGCCCCCAAACCGGTAGTGAGAGCAGGTTGATCCACATTATTTCGAACACAGCGTGGAATTAATTTCTATATTAGCAGTTCAAGGCATGAAACTTTTATATAATTTTTTTATATTTAATTAAACTAAAAATATTTTATCTAGGTACTGTTTATGAACGAACGCTGAAACATCGAAGGGTTATTATTCGACCTACTTTTCTATTTTAACGTTGAAATTGAACCTTTAAGGATCCTACCTTGCCTTTGTAATAATCTGCGATGAATTTCAGTCGCTACAACTCCTGCAGCCTGGCATGCAGACATTTTCCGGCTTTTACATTTTATTGTACTTTTCTGGTTTACTTACTTTGTGTTCGCCATTTAAACGGGAAGCAGCGTGTGTGCGAAGGAGAAAAAGGAAAAAACCAGATGAACTTAACAGTAAAATCTAGACAAAAATAAAAAAAGGCTTTTGCTGCTCTTACAAGATGCCTTGTTTTAGGAATTTTGGTTTAAGTTAAGCTTTTAATAAAAAAATACTCACTTAATAGTCACTTTTAATAAAAAAAAATACTAAATGCCAGTTGAAAAATGAAATCCACAGACAAATTAATACAAATAGACTGACCGGACCATACTATCTAAGGTGCAAAACAAAGGTACCAAAGGCATATATTTAATAGTTTATTAACGAAGATCATATGATTCTTATAATCCTATACAGGGTGGTCCGAATTGTAATTGGGAAACTTCGGGTACATATTGTGCAGATAAAATAAGTAAAAAAGTTCATATATATTTATGTCCTAAAATTAAGCCCGTTTTGGAGATATAGGGTGTAGAAGTTTTTATTTTTATTTGTTTTTTTTCCAAATAATTTCTAGACTTACGTTGATATTTAGATGATATTGGTATCTGGGTGATATAAGAAATTTGGTTTTGATGACTATTCCCTATTGCATCTTATGCATATTAAATATCATTAAATATTAAATATGAAATCTGGAGGAAAGTAGGGTATTAGGAGGGCATTAATAGAATGAATAATAATAGAGAAAGGAAAAGAAGAAAAGGCAAGAAATGTGGAAGTACCTTTTAAAAAAAATATTTTTTTTTCAGAAACTATTTGAGACAGAGTTTACCAAAAATGTTTGTTATATCTACTACTGGGTAAATGAATTTCTAGTATAGTATGACTTTTTTGAAACTTTAGTTTCGGAGATATAAATTTAATCGGACCTTTAAAAAAATATTTTTTTTTCAGAAACTATTTGAGACAGAGTTTACCAAAAATGTTTTTTATTACTACTGGGTAAATGAATTTCTAGTATAGTATGACTTTTTTTGAAACTTTAGTTTCGGAGATATAAATTTAATCGGACCTTTAAAAAAATATTTTTTTTTCAGAAACTATTTGAGACAGAGTTTACCAAAAATGTTTTTTATAACTACTACTGGGTAAATGAATTTCTTGTATAGTATGACTTTTTTTGAAACTTTAGTTTCGGAGATATAAATTTAATGGGACCTTTAAAAAAATATTTTTTTTTCAGAAACTATTTGAGACAGAGTTTACCAAAAATGTTTTTTATAACTACTACTGGGTAAATGAATTTCTAGTATAGTATGACTTTTTTTGAAACTTTAGTTTCGGAGATATAAATTTAATCGGACCTTTAAAAAAATATTTTTTTTTCAGAAACTATTTGAGACAGAGTTTACCAAAAATGTTTTTTATAACTACTACTGGGTAAATGAATTTCTTGTATAGTATGACTTTTTTTGAAACTTTAGTTTCGGAGATATAAATTTAATGGGACCTTTAAAAAAATATTTTTTTTTCAGAAACTATTTGAGACAGAGTTTACCAAAAATGTTTTTTATAACTACTACTGTATGTGTGAGCAGTACACGTGTTTATCAAAAATATTCATATTTTAATACAAATTTTGTAAAAGTGAATCAAATTATTACGTGTAAAAAAACATTTGTTACGCGTAAAAAACTATTTTTATTATTTTACGCGAATAAAACTGTTACACGTAGAAAACTATTTTTTACGCGTATAAAAATATGTTACGTGTAAAAATTTATTTGTTACACGTAAAAAACTCTTTTTTTAAGCGTCAACAACTTATTGTTTCTGGTAAAAAACCTTTTTTTTAAAAAACTATTTGTTACACGTAAAAACTTAATTTTTACTTACTAAAAAACTCTACTAAAAAACTTAATGTTTCTGGTAAAAAAACTTTTTTACCCAAAAAAATATTTTTTACGTGTAAAAAACTATTTGTTACACGTAAAAAAATATTTTTTTTACCGTCAAAAACTTAATGTTTCTGGTAAAAAAACCTTTTGTTACGCAAAAAAATATATTTTTTACGTATAAAAAACTATTTGTTACACGTCAAAAACTTTTTTTACGTGTAAAAAAACTATTTTTTACATGTAAAAAACTATTTTTTACGCGTCAAAAACTATTTGTTTCTGTTAAAAAAAAAATACGCAGAAAAAAACACTTTTTACACATAAGAAAACTAATTTTTACGCGTAAGAAAATATTCTTTTAATTTATTACTTTTTCAACATTTCAAACTACACTTTTTCAAACATTTCCTTCAAATTTTTCAATTTAATAGAATCTTCCTAAACAGTAGATGTTCTTTATAAAAATATTTTTAGATAATACCCTAAACTGAAAAAAAATGCATACTATTTAATTTATTTTTATTGTATTATTAAATATAACGTCCGTCTATGACGGGGTTTTATCTTAGAAAACGCTAAAGACGCTACAGAAAACAAACTGATTTGTTTTCATTTGCGTTTTTTGCGAGACACGCCGAACGCTACACGCCTTTGGTGGGGCCACTCCTATATAATCCTGTTATTTTGTTTTAGTCGCCAAAGACGCTCCACGCTAAATACGCAAAAAACGCTTTCTATGTGGCCGTGGGCTTATGTCGACTTTTGGTTCAGTATTGTATAGATCATAACTCGATCGATATTTTGAAGCTCAATATCTCAGAAGTGGTAATTATTAGGAAAAAAAGTGTAAGGACAATTATTGCAGACAATTTTATAATCTACAATTTTGGTCCGAACTATTTTTTGAAAAAATTTACCGTTTACGAGAAATATCCAAAAATCAAAAATTTTGACATTTGACATTGAATAACTTTTTAAGTAGCATAGGATACTATAGAGATAAGGATAGTTCGATTTCTATCTTCCTGCACTGTCAGTTTTTTTACGTCATCTACTGACCTAGTTGAAGTTGGCGCTAAAGATTTTAGACAGTGACAGTTATTTTTGCATTTGACGGACGAGCGCACAGTGCGTTGGAAGATAAATTTAGCGGGACAAAAGCGTTTGGTTAGAAATAAGCCAAAATATGTGTACTGATAAGAATAAATAGTAGACATTCCAATTAATACAAAAATGCATGAATATTCTTTGTATTTCGATACATTTTTATCAACCAAATTTGGTCGTTTTCTGCTCAGCAAGGCAGAGATCATACGAAAACAAAATATTTACAAGTGCTTATACATTGTATTAGAAAGCCAAATTATGTTGAAGATTGCCAACGGTATGTACTTTTCTACTGTATGTATATTATTTGTTAAAATGCTTCGTGCCTTTGTTCTGCAGATATCAAACTTTCACTTTTTTTTCAAATATCGATATATTGAATGATGTAGATCTTTTGAGTTACCAATAGTTACCAACACAGGTAGCCACAGTCACAGGGAGTTCAAGCTTAACAGGTGAATGCCCAAAAAGATTCATTTCAATCGGATAGTATAAAAACAAAACAACTCCATCAAAAGGCGCTGAGTTTAAAAAATTGTCTCAGATACTTACTATATATGAATTTACAATTACCGAGTGTTAAAATTAAAATTAAAATATCTATCTTATTTATTATCTATCTTTATTTATCATATTTTCAAAATAAAATATATTTTTTTAAAATAAATTATAGAGGGTGTCACAAGATTACAAATTAATTAAAAAAACTGCTAAAGAGTTTTTTGATATCATAATTTTATGTATTTTATAGAGGGTGTCACAAGATTACAAATTAATTAAAAAAAACTGCTAAAGAGTTTTTTGATATCATAATTTTATGTATTTGGCAATAGTTTACAATACGGTTTTTGTGTGTCATGTACGAATAATATCATAGTTTTATTATCTTGTATTTATTTATTAATAAATTAAGTTGTTAATAAATAAATAAATTTAACTCTATATAGTTGCTATATATTAGACCATTTGCTACGTTCTTAGATTTTAAGTCCCAAACATTGCTCCTGAGATTTTGTCCCGCTAGAATAACCATCCGCCGCACTGTGGAGCGCTGGTCAGCGCGTGACGTAGCATTCCACGGCGACTACGACAGCGGCGATTTGACGCGATCGAACAGTCCTTTAGAATATATACAGTCCTTGTTTAAGTAGACTTTCTTCTTCTTCTTTATAATAGCTAACCCAAGGTCTCTACCAAAATTCATTCATGCAAGTACCAAATTTGGTTAAAATCTTATGACTAATTAAATTACTAATATGTAATAATAGAGGTAATTGCAAAAAAATACTACGTTCATCATAAAAAATTATTTATATTACAGTTTTCCCTAAAAATACAAAGCGTAATACATACACATACAAATGTAAATTAATGTACAAGATAGAGATGCACAATTATTCGATATTCCAGAATATCAATATACTAGATACTTTGTATAGATAGTGCAAAAAATTGTGCATATCCATATATATTACGTCTAAATTTTAATATTTTTTTTTGTGAATTTTTTAAGTTAACTGCGACTATTTCTTGCTAAATAGCATTATTATACTATTAGAGAGTTTAAATAATTATGACATTTATGATCCATTTTGGGGGTAATATGTATTTTTATTGTCTCTTCAGTTTTTATACTGTATTTCTACAGTAAGATGGGTTATTTTACTTTTTATAAAATGGCATGGGAAGCACTCATATTTTGGAGTATGAATTTTTTTATCGATTTGTACAACACATTTTTTTATCGATTCACAATATCGATCTTTTAGAATTTTGTGCATCTCTAGTACAAAGCACCTGATCTAGCAGTGTGTCCGTACCTTAACACTTTACCGTATTTAATAAAAAAGTAAATTGTAATTAACTAATTTTAAAATAGCGTAGATTGTTTTATTAAAAGTGTTTTTAACCAGAATGACCTAGAGTGAACCAAAACAAACAAAACACAAGTTGAACAAACTCAGTAGGAGTTGCACTGTGAAGTTAATTTTTCCAGAAGACTTCGTTGCTGTGTTTGACGGCGCGCTGACTGAAAAATAAAAGAAAATGAGTGGTTAGGGCATTCATTTTAAAGAAATACAATTCAAGTAAAATACAAAATTTTATTTAAATGTATAGAAAACCTAAAGTCTTTCGACATACTAGCCCATACAGCACAGTTCGTCCCAGGGACGTATATTTTATGTCCATTTTACGTCGGTACGTCCCGGGACCAATTAGGGACGTACTATGTACGTACAAAAGTGTACGTACATAGTACGTGCCCCATGTACGTACATTGTAGGACTTCACTACGGACGTACATGCGAGTACGTACTACGTACGTATCTTGAAAATTTTTGACAACGCATTACAAAATGTTATTTAATTTTAATATCATGACTGGATTATTTTGGTCAGATATACCCAATAATAATGAATGGACTGGATGAGTGGATCTTTTCTAGTGTAACGTTTTTAGTTCGTTACATGTCTTTTTTATATATAAGATATGATGTCTGGCCTATCATCACCGGATTCTGTATCGTTCAGGCCTGATAATTTATTTGGCACGCTTGGCGTAATTTTTACGTACCCTAGTCGCCAACCCTGCTATCGTTTCAGTGTTCTGTGGAGGCGCGCGCTGTCAAGATCCTTGTTACATGTCAAGGTCGCTCTCCGCGCTTAACCTCACATTTGTTCACCCGGCTTTTAGAAACGGTAATAATTTAAATCTTGCTGCAAAATCTGAATCAGCTGCCATTTCGAAGCAACAGGTAAAGATGAGATATTATCTTTATAGATTCGATATTATTATTGAATATTTTTAGGGTAGAGTTTTGGATTGACCCACCTTAACTCGTATTTGTATTTTGCTGACACGTTGGTGTACTTTTGCTGTTGTCCTCCAGAATGTTAAATGGAAGAAAGGACAGTTCTTTTGTCTATTATTGAGCCCTCGGCAGTGTTTCGAGGTACAAGAGTTTCGTATTTTTAGGGTCTTATGGACGGACTGTGTCCAAGGTACGGGTAGTATTCCCTTGTACCATTATCCTATGTACGGATGCCCTGTGGACGAGTGTCCCCAGTAGGAATGATTTTTCTTGCATATAAAGTGCCCCAGCGTGGATGTAGCTTGAGCCCCATGCTGCTTCGTTCCCATCCATAAGCTAGTTAGTAGTTACGGCTGTTCCAATTCATGGTGTCCTCATTCTGGCCCCTTTTGATGTATTGGATGGCCGAGTATAGAGATGCGAGACCACCTCACGCTGTTACTGTTTGAAGCAAGATTACATAAAGGACAGCTAAGTGTAGATTTAAGTTCTAGTTTTACATTTAACATCTAAAACATTTTCAGTCTTAAATAATAACGTACATCTTAAGTAATATCGTACAGACTATGTTTAGTGGTTAGATTGTTAAGAACATTCAGGTCGATTTAATATTTAGAATATGATTTAGATCTTAGGTTTCATTACATTACGTCTTGTAATGGTATTACTTTCATAGATACTTAGTACAATTCTTAACACCACTTTCGTTGACATATAACCACTACCACGGTACGTACATAGTAAGTACCGTGGCTTTATGGGAGTGCTAAGGGAATTATATATTATATTATTATAGTATAATTAATTTTGAAAAAGACACTATCTTACACTTCCAATAATCTATTAAATTATACTTTTTAATAATTTTTTATAAATTTATTTCAATTGGTTTACCTCTAGCAGGCACTGGATGTCTGAGACTTTCTAATTCTAACTCAGCTACTTCATGGTAGATGGAAGCAATTTCTGCGACACACTGTAGAACCAGTCTACCTTCGTTGAAGTGGATGAAAGACAGTTTGAGCTCCAACTGCAGATCTGTCCAATCACGTTGGTTCAGTTTACGGAATAGAGACGGTTCACTTTGGTTCACCTGAAAGAATGATTTTTTTTAATTTAAGCGATTACTATTCGGATTATTGTAGAGGGTGTTTCAAAAAACATGTGCAATCTCTCGTGGGGAGATTCTTCACGTAAAAATAAGATTTATTTTTCATATCAACATAGGTCCGATTCCGCTTTGTTTCGAAGCTACAGGGTGTTTGGTTTGGGTTGGTTACAACTCTAGTTTTAAGTTGAAAGACTGATTTATAATATTGGCCTTGTATGGAGCCCTGTTCCTTGCAAGGCCTTTAGGAAAAGCTTAATAAAATTAAGTTTAATAAATAGTGATTACATCTAGAAAAAGTAATGTATATGCCTCGCAATACAACAAAGTGTTAATTAATAATTTCTTTCTTTCATTTATCCAGTAAATTAACTAATAAAAACTGTTTATTCGTTACAGTGGCCTTCCATGGACCACCCACCTTATTATAAACTTTGACTTAACTTACATCGATTCAGAAGCAAAAAGATATCGACTTAATTTTAGATTACGGCGTCGTATTTTGAAAGTCTTATTTGTTTGGAGTATGCTTACGTATTCTTGCTTTGAGAATATTTAATCTTTCACTAAAAATATTGGACTTTCCAATTTAAGCTCTGAAAATTCAAGTTAAATTTGCCAAAAGCATAATTCAATACTATATCATTTTAACCTAACCATTCCATTTCTCGAAATGTAGCTATCTTTTCAAGACAAATATATATTTGATCAATTTAAGCAATTCTGATCAAGAATTCCATATTCTACATTTAAAGACATCTACTTGAGTATATACAAATCTAACATATGCTCCAAATTAAAATTAATAGCATTAAACCAAGTATTCTCCTTTCCGTGTACCACATCATCAAATATATAATATTTTTGTGTATATATTTGCTGTTTTATACAAATTAATTTAGAATTTTAAAATTATCGAATACTTAATTAAAAATTGTTGATAATTTTGCAATATTTTCATGCCGCACAATCAAAATATTAACGCAAAAACAAGTGCCAAATTGAAAGACCGTCTAACGAAATTTATTGTCATATACTCTAAATCAAAATAAATTATAAACGCGTGTTTTATTAATAATTTAATATAAACATCGATTTCTACAAAGCTGTTTCGTTGGAATAATAATTATTCAAATTAAAATATGGTTTTCGAAAGCATAACGCAAACATATCAAAAACAAAGGAATTCGTAATTATTTTCCATTGCTTTGAAAAAAAAACATAAATAAAACAAAAATAATTAAAAACAATGTCGATATTAATTGAAAATTCCACAAGGAATGATAAAACAAGGGGTGTTTATTGAACTGTAAAAAATACGATCAAATTAAATTATATTAAAGTTTTGGTTTTATCTGCTATTTTATAGGTATTTTTTTTAGTAAAATGAAGAAATTTTATTACTTTAATATTATACTTTAATGATATTTATTTCCAATTTATTTTTTTTTTCTTTTTCCTTTTTTTGTAAGTATGTTATACCGGGTGTTGCATCGTCGGAAGGGACATAGGAAATCCCATGTAAATTTTAATGGGATAAATAATTTAAATAAATAATTCTATTTAGGTTTATTGAAGACCACTAAAACCCACATTCAAAAGAATAACTTTTTTAACTCGTCTAGATTTGGGTATTTTTTTCCTTGTATATTCTGTTTTTTAAATGGCCCCAGAGAAAGAAATTATTTGGCGAAATATCAGGAGACCTTGCTGGCCAATTTACTGATTTAGGCCAATAACGTTTCCGTTAAAACTATTGTCTAAATATTCCCGAACAGCCAGGGTACTATGTGCCGGGCGGCCATCCATTTGGTACCAAACTTCCTGATTTTCCCTAGCGGCATCATGTAAAGCAGGTAAAATATAATTTTCGAGTAGTTCCAAATAATATTCTGCATTTAAATTTCGCGTAAGAAATAATGGCCCGATAATATTGGTCCGAATATCCCTGCCCAAACATTTACTTTCTGTGGATATTGCGTCCTTGTTTCGACAAACCTGTGTTCTCGCTGGGTTCAAACCTTCCTTTCGACAAACCTGTGTTACGACAAACCTGTGTTCTTTGTTCCAATATCGATAATTTTGAACATTGGGTTCATTATTTAAGGTAAACGTGCATTCGTCAGTGAAACATATGTTTTTTAAAAATTCCCTATCCGTGTTTGCTCTTTCCATCATATCAAAACAAAACGCCTGCCGCCGTATTTCGTCCCCATCTCGTAGTTCTTGGTGCTTTTCATATTTGAAGGAATAGTATTTATGTCGTTTCAAAATTCGAAACGCTGTAGTGTGATCTATTCCTATTTCATCCTCAAGTTTCCTTGTGCTGATCTTTCCATCGTTCTCTTCCACGCACAATAAAACTTCCAAGTCGGTATCATTTCTTGCATCTTCTCTTTGTTCCTGCCTTGCTTCACATCTGCAGTTATTTATTAGGGTACCTTTGGTCTCAAATCTCTGGATATTCCTTGCGATTGTAGATTTTCCAGGTATCGGTCTATTCGGATACAGAGCAGCAAACATGTCCGACACCTTTTGATAACTATTTCCTTGATAATACCATTTAATCATCAATACTTTTTCTTCGGTAGTGTAATTCATGGCTAATATTTTCGATGTAGGTATGAGTTTTTAATAATAATAATAAAGCACTAAATAGATAAATTTCTGAAATGACAACTTCATTTGACAGTTATCTTTTACCTTGACTGGTGCTCATAAGTAAATACAGGGCCATAAGAAAGGAGAAATATTTAAAAAGAAATCGGCGATAACTCGTAAACGGGCTAATTAAAAATATCTAAAGTTATTCTTTTGAATGTGGGTTTTAGTGCTCTTCAATAAACCTAAATAGAATTATTCTCTAAAATAATTAGGGAAGCCAATAATTGACCCCATTAAAATTTACATGGTATTTCCTATGTCCCGCTTGACGATGCAACACCCGGTATATTATTAGTGTATACACGGGGGTGTCACTTGTATGGGAAAACAGGCAACAGTCAAATTTAAACGTGCCAGGATCAACGACAAAGAAAGCAACATCTGCCAGGCATTGGCTTTCTTTGTCACTCACATTGCTTAAATCATGATACCGCGGCCATTTTGTCAACAAAGAAGCTGGCCGGGCTGTCCTGGCAAGTGATTTAAAACAATTTTGCTTTTTACAATATTAAATTACCATTTGGATGTATTTAATGCGATTATTCAGTTAATTGGTAAGTCAGAAATTACACACAAATACTTTATTCGTAAATACAACTAAGATGTAAACGTATTTTTGTATTTTTAGATTTCAACTCTTGCAAAGACCCGCCGGTAGAACTTGCCTGGCAGCGTACCTGTTTAACTAAACGTATTATTTCCTGATAATAATATCAAAACACGTAAGTACCTCTATAATTTATGATGAAAAATGATTTTGATTCTGTTTTATATTATTTAAATACTTTCTAACCTCAAATAATAGAAAGATGATGAAGATCCTTGTTTATATCGCACAGCCCGTTCAAAACTGTATTGTCTTCAAAAAATGTTTACAAAACACACAATTATTAAAAAAACAATGTCCTTTTAATCTGATTTATACCTCAGAAGGATGCCAGTAAAATTTTATTACATCAACATTATATTATTTGGCCGTTAATATGCAAAAAGGAGCATATTGCCTTAACTTAAATTTTCTTTTACTTCTCCTGACAATGTTCTCTATATTCTCTATTTTGAGTTAGTAAACTTTTGAACGGGATGTGCGATATATAAAATACATAATATATCCAAGGGTATGATCTGATAAAAGTATTTTTTGGTTGTTATGCACGTTGGCTTGGTTTATGTTTTATTCAGCTTATATTTATTTGGTATAACAGTTTTTTTTGCCTTTGGAATGGCATGCATTGAGGCTAGATAGTGTTTCATTAGATCATTAAAGGAATTTAAATTAGCATATATTTTTTGTCATATTAGTGTGTTATCATGATACAGGTAGTTGTATCATAGTGCCTTATACATGTTATTTACCTATTATATACTTATGTAATGTATTATCAGTAAATTGATGATAACATACTACTAAAATGTCTTTTTAATAGTATGTTTATCTTTCCAATTCACTAGTTATTTGCAAAATGTATTTTGAACTAATTTAAGTCATTAATTGATCATCTTTCTTTTTCAGGTTCCGGGATATTCTTTTTCATTGTTAAAAAAAATATATATATATTTCAATATTATTGTAATATAAATCGCAGCTCTAAAAAATAAATGATATTGTTTACTAATGTGTAATTTATTTACTATGAATTTTCTCTGAAAATAATAAGTCTTTAATAATATCATTGATTTGCTGTGTAAAGTTAATAGACATATTTTTAATACATTAAATTATATTAAAGTAATAAAAATATGTTTATTAACTTTAAACAGTCAGTCAGTGATACTTATAAAAATATTTTTTTTTAAATTTCCCCTCTTTTAAGCCCCGCCCCTCCAATTCCCCTCAATTTAGCTAGTACTGCCAGGCGACACCAGGTGGCGTCTGTTTCCATTTTTTAACATGAAGTTAGCATTTCTTTAATGTACCTATTCTCTGAGTGTATACTTTTAGCCACATAAACCACAATCCATTCATAGAATGTCAATATAAGTGTGTTGGATTTATAAAAAAAAACATATTTAACACCAGTTATATTTTTTGTTTTATCTGCCTGATTTATCTGTACACCCATAAAAAGATTAAATCTTTATTGAGGAGATAAATTCCAAATATATATTTTTTAAAGTCCGATATATAGGTACGTTCGTCCGGTTCATCGGCGTCATCTCGCAAATCTTCTCTGGAAACTGGAAAATATGATTGGTTGGGATTATATCGGTCTGGATAGGTCCAAACGGATCGTCCTGCTCGGCTAATATAAATGGTTTACACAAGAGGAAAAAGATGGTCACGTAGTCGAGTCCCAATAAAAAATGGCTCTCCTAGATAA